CGACGCGGCTGCCCGCGAGGTCGAATCGAAGGCCGAAGGCGTCGAGTCAATGTTATTTTTCTTGCATAGTGGGGTCTAGTGGTGACCATATCCGCAAGTAGGTTGGTGCACCCAGAGGGCCAGAAGACCGGTGGACGCGGTCAAAATCCCGGACAGGTTTTGAGCTCCAGAGTCGCTAAACGGGACTCGAACCGAACCTGTGACCCCACCAATGGATTGCTCTCCGAACGAGGAATCCATTGGTGGGGTCACACGCTCGGTCGGAGTCCTGTCTCGCGACTCTGGAGCTCAAAACGCGTCTAGAGTTCTGGCCGCCTCCACCGGTCTTCTGGCAAGCAAATCCACTGCGCGGCGGCGCGTGTCACGAGACTCACCCTTCTCTGGGCTGGCGTTTGCCGGCACTGCGTAGCGACATAGCACGGCTGGCTGGAGCTCCGCTAGCGGCTGGAGTGGCTGGAGTGCGGGGCGTGCCTCGACCCTGCCGTGCAGGCCGCCGTCCACCATCCCGTCAGCGCCTCAGATCATGTCAGCCCGCTGCAACACACAGATTCACATTCACACACTAAATGTTGTGTACAATTTTGTACGAGACATCCCAGTTTTTTTTTGCACACGAAATTTTCGTACAATTTTCGTACGAAAAACTGCACGTTTTTCGCCATTTTTGTACAATATTGTACAATATTGTGCAGGCTGGGCCTGCACTGTAGAAAAAATCCACGGGAAAAGGTACAGGCACAGTCTGGTAGACAATTTGCCTGGTACCACCGCACCTCAGCCAGTACGGCTTTTGGGATACGGAGTACGGTTTTCCATAACAAGGGTTCTTATGGGAATCACGGTTTTTGGGTACGGTTGTACTGTACACCGTGAGGTACGGTCTAGCCGTACCTTTTTCCCTGAAATGTACGCCCTTTTTCAACAGTGTGGGTTACTCCATATGCATTCCCGACTTTTCATAGCCAGTCTATCGATTGCTTTCTTTATCGTGCATGTCCGTGCGCCAGTACAGTTTCAATATTTGCGCCAGTCCGTGACCGAGGGGAACCGGAAATACCACGGCCGCCCCCGTGTTACCCTTTCCCCAACACCCTGTCTCTCTCACACTCCCCACCAACCCCAACCACATACACACGCACACACACACAGACACACGCACGCACTCAAACACTCAAACACAACGGTGGACTATGTTGATCCCCGGTTAAACGATGCGAATCAACGGCACTCGCGGCTCTCGGCACGTATTGTGTCCGGCTGAGCCAGAGAGAGAGAGAGAGAGAGAGAGAGAGAGAGAGAGAGAGAGAGAGAGAGAGAGAGAGAGAGAGAGAGAGAGGGGAGGAAGAGAGGGGGGGGGGGGGAGGGAGGGGGGGGGGGAGAGAGGGGGGGGAGAAAGGGGGGAGAGGGAGAGAGCTGACCAAGCCGACCCGGTCAACACTGATTCTCACGCGCCGAGTGTTTGTTTAAAGCCGCTGGGGCGAGGCGAGGAGTGGGTGTCGCCGAGGCGAGCTGTGTGCCCGGTGACAAGGACAAGCCCCTTTCGACTCAAGGCGCTCTCTCTCTCTCTCTCTCTCTCTCTCTCTCTCTCTCTCTCTCTCTCTCTCTCTCTCTCTCTCTCTCTCTCTCTCTCTCTCATGTTTACAACTGAAGTAAGTGTCAATCTATTTGATTTTGGGAGTTACGGTCGGAGTCAGTGTGACTGAGTAGTGTGGTTCGAGTGAGAGGGACAGCGACAGCTCACCGAAGTGCAAGCTGTGTGTAGCACGTGGCAGCACCCACGTGTCGCACTGGAGACGTTCCCGGACCAGTGTTGCCACACAAGTAGGCAAAAATTTCCACATTGCACCAGCTTTGAAAGGGTTGCCATCCTCAGCCTGCCTGCTGGGTAACTTCGAGAGCGAAGCCCGGAAATCGCCTCACTTGCAGTGCATGGTGATGCAGGCAGCCGCTTCGACACGTATTGGGTGTTGATGCGCACGTCTGTGACAACTCTAGGCCACCAGGTCCACGACTTGTAATCTGCCCTAGCACGTGTCCAGCAGGGGGCAGAAGGACAACAGCCCCCCTCCCCCAAGCCTCGTGGTTTCCGCCTGAAAGGTAGGCAAAAAGCCACACTTCACCCCTGTGGGTAGGCAATAAGTGCCACTTCCCCCTCCCTCCGTATTGTTAGCCGGCTCTGGACCCGCCACACAGTGGGCCAGAAGGCCGGAGAGGCGGCCAAAACCCTAGACGCGTTTTGCGCTCCACAGTCGCAACGCAAGACAGGACTCGAACCGAACGTGTGTAACCCCACCAATGGACTCCTCGTTCGGAGAGCAATCCATTGGTGGGGTCACACGTTCGGTTCGAGTCCCATTTAGCGACTCTGGGGCTCAAAACGCGTCTCGAGTTTTGGCCGCCTCGCCGGTCTCCTGGCCAATCCACTGTGCGGCGCCGCCCGTACCTGCAGCCTCCGTGTTGGCGGCCGACGAGCGGCGCGGTGCAGCGCGGTGCGGCGCGCCACGTGTTACGGTGTCATGCCGCTCCATGCAGGACATCCAGGTCAGTCACGGCCTTGGTCACGGCCGTCCGCTCCACCGCCTTGCTGCAGCCTTGCTGCCGCCGCGTCGTCCCCGCGGGGGAGCCAGCCCGGTGCCACTGGGCGCAGCAGCACAGTGTGCCTCGTCGCGTCCCGCCCGGTGCGTCCCGGTGCGTCCCTGCGCCCTGACAACCGAAGCCCGCGTGGCTCCGCTGGCGGCCTCTGCCAGCTCACTGCCGTCGCGCCGTACCGGTGCGCCCGACCAGCCGCCCCCGCCGCCCCCGCCGCCCCCGCCGCCCCACCACGGACGAACGGCCGCCCCCACCAGGGCCCCACCAGGGCGCACCAGGGCCCACCAGGGGCAAGGGTGGCCCACCAGGGGGTGGGTCTTGGAAGGGCGCGGCGTGGCGCGGCGTGGCGTTACGCGTGGCGGACGCGCTGCACGGCGCGACACGGCGGCCGCGGCCAGACGGCCCGCAGTGGGCCAGAAGACCGGTGGAGGCGGCCAAAATTCGAGACGCGTTTTGAGTCCAGAGTCGCTAAATGGGACCCGAACCGAACGTGTGGCCCCACCAATGGATTGCTCTCCGAACGAGCAATCCATTGGTGGGGTCACACGTTCGGTTCGAGTCCCATTTAGCGACTCTGGAGCTCAAAACGCGTCTAGAGTTTTGGCCGCCTTCACCGGTCTTCTGGCCCACTGTGCGGCCTCTGCAGACTGATTCCGAGAGTCGTTTTCGTCGCTCTGTCTCTCTCGCACTGACACGGCACGCCCCGCGAGTGCGAGGAAGACAGCGACGAAACCGACTCTCGGAATCAGTCTGCTGCTTGGATGTGATATCACGGTGAGCTCCGGGGGCGCGGCGCGCAGGCGGATGTCGTTCCCTTCGCAACTGTTTCCAGTGGCGTGGTGGCGCCGCGTCGGACAGAGTGCTGCCCCCAGCCCTTCAGGCAGCGACGTAAGAACGGGTGCCAGCCGAGCGATTCATCAGAAGATCGGTTTGTCGCTGTCTCTCTCGCACCCTCAAGGAGAGCCCCACGAGTGCGAGAGAGACAGAGCGACGAAACGACTCTCGTCATCAGCGATCATTCAGGGGCAGGCCCTCGGGCGGACCGCAGCACAGTGGGCCAGAAGGCCGGTGGAGGTGGTCAAAATCCCGGACGCGTTTTGAGCTCCAGAGTCGCTGAACAGGACTCGAACCGAGCGTGTGACCCCACCAATGGATTCCTCGTTCGGAGAGCAACCCATTGGTGGGGTCACACGTTCGGTTCGAGTCCCATTTAGCGACTCTGGAGCTCTAGAGTTTATGCCGGCGGCGCCGGTCTTCTGACCCACTGTGCGAAGGGGCGAGAGGGACAGGGCGGTGAAAAAGCTCGCGGTGGCTTTGGCAAAATCCTACATTTTTGCTCACTCTTCGTCAAAGGCACTATATGCGTATTTACTTACCATTGACTCGCAGTAAAATCCATTTGCTGCTTGATTCGTTGAACACGGTGACCGGACTGGCTCCCGTGCCCGTTTCTGCCTTGCTTTTTAACCTCCAACTGCAATCTTTTGTTCTGTTGTTATGATTCGCTGCCGGTGACACCCGTTCCCTCCCCCTTCCCCTCTTGCGTGGAAAAGTGGGTGCGTTAGTGCTTCGATTCTCGGGGTTCAGTTTCAGCCAACTAAGGCTTGTCATGTTATTGTCTGCGACTTTCTTAACTCTTCAGTGAATCGAAATTAATATTTGGCCTAATTTGATGCATTTAATGCTTTTGATTCGATAATTCAGGATGTTTTTCGACCCAGGTGGAGTTGCCTGGAACCGCCACCAGGGCGCGCTCACGTCGCCTTTTCAAATGAGCCAATTAGAGATCTAGGACACACTTTACATGGACAAAATAGCTTAATTATGCTAGAGCTGAGTGATCAGCATCTATGAGGTGGTGCGGAGTTTTGAATCAAATCAAGTAAACTACTCATCAACTCATGTCTACCATTCACATTTATTATGCTGTATAGAACAAAATAAGTCATAAAATTTGTGTTTGCGTCACTTGTACCATCACAATCACATATTTCAAATAATTTTCCTTCTTTGAGTATTTACACATTTACACTGAAAATAAAATATAGACTTTAGAAATAGAGAAGATAGTACACACAAAATAACCATGCAAGAACTGACCGGTGTAGGTAATGAACTTTCAATGAAATGTTATTGTACACGATTTGTCACAATGCTCCGGCAAATGTCAATAACTTCTTGAAATCGATATCAGTAAAGAGATCAGGCGCGATGATCATCAGTCAATATCGAGTATATAGAACAAAAAACTCATAATTTAGAATATAAAACGTAGCAACAAATTGTCACACTATCCATACACTCATAATCTGCTCAAAACAATATGTTGTAGCAGAGTATGATGTATTAGAGCAAGGTGATTGGAACAACCCATGATAGGAATGTCCTTAGCCTTTGATTTTTTTTTTCAATTGAGAACTAGCACTTCCCCTAAAGTTCAACTGGAATACTGTTTGTTCATTGTACATCCTATTTATGACAATGATAAGATCTTTCAGTAAATAAGGTTTCTTAAAGTAAGATAACAGTAACTCCACCACACAAATACAAATTAAAAAGAGTAATAACAATTTTTGAAAACAAGACAAAACTAAACAAAATAAGAAGCAAGGGCTTGAGATTAATACATCATCAGAACTTAAGAATAAGAAAGAAGCTAAGTTTGAATTTGAAGAGCAATTATTGAGACGAGTAAAATTCCAACTTAAGTCCATTTTTCTTCCTAACAAATAAATGAAAGGGCAAGACATTATGCAAGGGCAAGGCGCTACAATAATACTACACAAATCAATACTTCAGAAAAAATAGATCTGCTTATTTGTATAAGTCAAGTCTGCTCTATTTGAAACAGCACAGAGGGTACGAAGAAAATTCAAAGGGTTGGGGAATAGGGTTTGATATTAAAGCGTGTGAGCAATACCTCTTAGTTCACAATCAGTAATATTTATCGAGCTGAAACAAATGAGAGCAGAACCAAATAACAACCAATTCTATTATTCAAAAGTTATTCCAGGTATTATTGAGTTTTGAGAGGAATATGAACTAATAAGCTCAAAACACAATCTCAATATCTGCCTATCACAATTCTTCACTGAGGTTCTCCCTGAGTCTTTGGTTTGTGGCCTACAAAGACAAGGGGTAATGAGTGTAGAAAAATAAATTACCTAAAAGTAAAAACCGGATCGCTCCCATATTGTCCCTTCAACACATAACAAGTCAGAACAGCAGAGACACCATTTGTTGGTTCTTTATCACCTCTTTGACAAATACAGCACCACAAGGAATGGAGGTGATGTGCAGATCAGTGGCGATGAGCAAAGCAGTAAACAATGGTAACAATGTCTTACTACCTTTCTTAATTTAGTAGCAGCATTCTCTAGAGTAAATTTCTCTACATCCTGGCTTCATGTGGTTTGTGACATTTAGTGCGTCTCTGACGTGTCATTCCGTTCCTCAGGATTCCTTACACGTGTCAGCTTGATTCTTAGCTTTGGCACACGGCGGCTGTCCTGGGGATCGTCTGAAGGGACGATATGGGATTCTAACCCTCAGTAACTATAAGGGTAGGCGGAAGACGCCTGAGAGTTAGTAGTATCAGACTCCAAGTAAGGCATGTAGGACATGGATGGTGTGTACACTGGAGGCAGCGCGTGCGGCGAAGGCACTGCGGATGGACCCAGCGACGGCATGGACGAAGCCAGCGAAGACAAACCCGATGAGGTTGACATGGTTGGAGTGACAGAAGGGGTCGGCCTTGCAGGTGGAGGCGGACTATCATCCAGAGTTATCGTCAAATTGTAGCCAGAGCTGGACACCCCAGAATTGCTTCCACTAACAGCTTCTGCAACAACAGAAACAGTGGCATTTGGATCTTGATTTCTCTTCTTGCTTTCAGATTTTGTTGACATTTATTTTCTAATGATGATGGTCTAGTCTTAACAATGAAACAAAATTTTAATTCTTTTAAAACATTGTAGAAAGCAGCCAGGAAGTGTAATGTTACGTATTTAAAACTCCAAACCCAGCTCAGAGTCACTTTTTCTTTTCCAAATTTTATGGCAAACAGCAAAAAACAGACAAAAATTTTATCTCAGAGTAAACTGCAATTAAATCTGAAGCATTTGTATTGCAGAATGGATAAGGCTAGAAGATAATCCAAGAAACCTACACTAATGGGTGCAAATGCAGAATAAAGCCATAAGGGGATGCAGATGTGTGCAACATAAAAGGAGTTCTTAGAAAATGAAAGGAAGAAAAAGGGGTGCAGTAAAATAAATTTTATTAGTTAGGTTTGACAAAAGTACGATAAGAAAATTAATTTAAGCTACTACTAAGATTGTCAAAAAATATAAAAATAGTTGAAAGCGGAAGGTAATGAGAATCAGCACAGTATCAAACATTAAAAGCCACAAGAGAGATGTCTATTCTTACTTAGCAAATCATTTTCTAAACAAGATCTCCTTATTTAATTTCTTTTTTATTAAATCACAGATACAAACTGCTATTACAAACCAACTGCTCATTTCAGCACTACAATCAGTAGTACTGGCAAGAACAAGAAACTATGAGAGCTCAGGTATTTCATTGAAGCCCAAACGACAAATATACAAATACTAGTTAAGCACTGTAAGGCCAGAGGCAGCTTGGCTACCATGCAAACAAATACGAAAAAGTAATTACATGAATAATAATTTAAGCTAAACAGGAGTTATAGTAACAGAAGGCGACAATATGGTTACTTCATCAGGAAGAACAAAGCTGTTAATTTTCTGACCTGCATAGAGACGAGATGGTGTTGATGACATTTGAGGTGCAGGTTCAGATGGGTTCTTGATCACTGATGCAGTACTAGAAGACTGAGTTGGATGAGCTGAAACTGCTGGAGAATCGTCGTCCGAGTCACTCAGAGTCAAATCAACCACAACAGCTTTCTTGGGTGTTGATGAAGATGCCGATGATTCTTTCACAGCTGGTTTAGCCTCATCATCAATAATTTCTGGGAACACAAGTTACAAATGTAGATCAAAATTGTGTGTAAGGATAATAAATAATCTAGAGATAACTCACATTAAATGAAAATCACTTACCTAAGTCATCAATTATTTCTACAGTTTCATTTTTATTTTCGACCTGAAATGAGCAAAATTTAAATTAATAATGTGGAGGGGACATCAATTAGCCAATGTACACAATATTAAAAAAAAAAAAAATACTTACAGGTGCTACTTTCTTTTCCTTCTTAACAGTGACAAGAGTGGTCCAAGAACCATCTGGGTGCAATTGGATTTCATGACTGTCACCGGGGAGTTTACCACTTTGAATAACCTCTTGAAAGTATCTGAAAATTCAAAGAAAATAAATTGCAAAACTGAAAAACAAGAAAGAAGAACTATAATAAGAAGAGACAGGCACAAAACTCACCCATCAATAACCAAATTATCATAGAGGCATTCTCTATCACAAACAGGACAAACCCAGGTAGGTTTCCGTTCATTCATTAAAAGATAAAGTGAAGCATCGAAGCACTGAAGATGGATGCATGTTGATGCTCTGCATGGAGTTGTCATGCGCATCTTACCCAAAGGGCACATTAGTGAAACTCTCAACGATGTTGTAGCAATTTCAGCATCAGCATCATTCAGCTTTTCCTTAACTGTGAAAAAGAAAAAGAAAAAACAAAGATTAGTTTGGAAGTTAAAGTATTATAGGAATGTGAATGATATGTTAAGTTGCAGGTCAATGCTTACTTAATCCTCGTGTGAAGTCTGAGTGTCGCACTCCTTTGGACTTCATCTTCTGCAGCAGTTCAGTAGATGATAATTTCTTAACAAGATGTACAGCTATAACATATTGCCGACTGTAGTCTGCTGCCCATTGGACCGTAATGTGGTTGGCTACAGTGGGACTAAGTTTTACTAAAGGTGATATGTTCACAGGCCTTGGTGGGCGTTTAGGTTCCACCCCAGGCCGATTGGTAGGAATAGGATTCTGAAAAAGGAAGATTGAAACATATACCACAAATTCTTATAAATAAGAAAACCTTTTAAAAAGTACAATAATGAGTTTGAAAGCTTACAGGAAGACTGCATTGTTTTCCATTAACTTTTACTAAGATACTAGGAGGAAAGCAATCATCCTGATCACATGAAGTTTCCAACAAACAAAACCTCATCTGAGCCTGAAACAAGAAAAAATCAAGAAGTTCAGGCAAAGAATAGTAAGAAGAACAAATTCCCAAGGATGCGGACTCACCTGGACAAGGAACTCATTTTTGGAATTGGGTCCTACATCTTTAGACATGGCAATTTCAGTAGCTTGGAAAGGCGTCAAATGAAAAACAAAGTTTGTTTCCTGAGCTCGGGTATTTCCTTGTGGCACTGAACCAAAACCAAAACAGTTAGAAAAAGAAGATGGGGGTATTTGATACGTAAAGCTGTCAGAGGACACTTACTCAGAGTTGAAGGTTTCAGCAACTCTCCCATCATTTCATAAAATGGTAACTTTTTCAATCTAACATCAGGGTGAATAGGGTAGGAACCAGGCACACTGGCAGAAATACTAGGGGCAATAGGGGCACCAGGCATCTTGTGAGGCAACTTGTGCACAGCATTGACAGGAGGCTGCGGCTGAAGTGAGCGACTCGACTGATTATACATTTGAGAGTACATTCGATTGGCCTGCAATGTAAAGAAAACAAATGACAATGAGGAAACTTCCGGCATATTTCAGAGAATCCAATTACATCATTGAAGGCAAGCTTGTTCAAATATTGTTGAATAAACCACTGCACACGAAGTTTATCAACCTGGGTAATTGACTTCATTGTCAACTAGAGTGGAAGATGAGAAAAACCATTGAACAATCACAGCATGAGAGAAAAAAAACCATTGGGCAATCACAGCATGAGAGAAAGAAAACCATTGGATAATCACAGCATGAGAGAAAAGAGGCCTTAACTGCTTCTGCACTAAAAGTCTAAAAGAGACGCATCTCAGCCAACAATGGCTCGCGGAAATCAAAAGTTCAGGCTCTATCCATACAACCAAAAACATTTTGGTTAGTTAAAGCATAGTTAATAGAAAATGCACAACTGGGAAACACAATGGAACTCACCAGCTCCTCATAAGTATTATCTGTCCACTCACAAACAAAGGGAGGGAAAACAAGGTCAATTTTACTGTTTAAAAACAGATTCTAGGTGGGGTCATTCCCTTTGATGCATTGAAACCATTGACCAAAAATAGTTGAAGAGGATACATACTTGTGCCTGCTGCTGGTGCTGTTGCTGCAAGGCCTGCGATCCGTACACCCCTGAGCCGTACATGCCAGCCATGTGTGCAGTCGAGTGCTGCACGTGGGCGGAGTGGGCATGCGCGGGATGCCCTGGGTGTCCAGGGTGCCCATGCGTCGACGTTGCATGCTGCATGGCACTGTGGCTCGACAAACGCCCCTGATCCGGAATGCCTGATTGTCGATACATGGTAGCAGGATCACCTTCTCCCATAGACTCTCTGAAAAAGGGCATGGTGTATTACAGAAGTGAAGCAGGTATGAAGGCAAGACATCACATGAATCGATAAATATTAAATGAGTGGACATGTTGAGGTACTTACTGAATGGTTTTGAAGAGTTCCCGAATTTTCATGTACACGGGCTCAGAACCAAGACGAAGGAGATCTAACGCTCTCGCCTGCAGTTCAGTTTTTCGACCAGACTTGTTTCGACCAGCATAACCTAAGAGCATCTGCAGTTCAGACACCCTGAAGCTCATCAGCATATTCTGGAGACAAAAGACAAACAATGTTTGTTACCGCAATGCCATAAGACCAATGCAAACTCAGAAACACATCATCAATGGAATGAGGTTCAAAGCTCTGCAAGATTAATGAAATAATGCACAAGTGCTGATACAGAAAAAGGAAATATAAACAACATCAAACCAGGTCTAAATCAGTGCAAATTATTGTAAACAATGAGTTGTGGACAACACACATTTCAGGTGATCAAAACCCAAAAAAGGGTGGGAAAATAAATGAAAACAACAAATTGTAGTGGATATCAAAAACAGCCGACCCACGAAACAGAAGAAGAAAACCGTCTAAATCCGCGGTGATAACTTTACATAAGGCACACTGGTGACCACATAACCTCAAAAATCACGGAAGCCGCGCTCAGCTGTGAGACCACTACACTAGTCTCAAGGGAGCGTCCCGCAACTTAAAATACGAGCGCGACCGGAACCTACTACAACGTACCCTCAAGTCACCTAGATCGGCCACATTCTGGCCCAGTTGTCTTTTGCGACTCATCACAGCTCATAACCACAAAGACTAATTTTTCAAAACCATTAGTTTCATTCCTTCTACTCAAATTCTGCGAACCGGGAAGGGGTTCGAAACAGGTTGACCAACTGCTACTACACACCGGACAACATCCGGTGGAACGATTAGAATTTTGCTTGGGTTGACCGATCTGGGTGGACATCAAAATAAAATGCCCAGTACTGTTATTCCCGGAAAAATGGAGCCGATGGTTAAAAGTATCAGAATGTGGAAAGGATAGTGCAAGGCATTTCACAACTCCACAGATGGCCATAGTCAGGTGCGGATCCAGTGGGGTGAAGTAAGGACCCAAGGGTGAAGGGATGGGGGCAAACTCGAAAAACCACGCCCCCCCCCTCTTTCTCATAAACCGGAAAATTCCTTCAATTTTAAAAGAAATATTCCGCAAGATTTTTAAAAATTGTCATAAAAATAGAAATTTTATGCAAGCTTCTTACCCTAATGTTTCTGTAACGTAAGGTAAATTTTTAACCCATTCTTGTAAAGGGCGTGCATTGAATCAGGAATTTATTTTTGTTATTTCCTGAGTTGTTTGTTTGTTTACCTTTTGTTAAAAAAATATATTTTGATGACATGTTATTAAAGAGTGTTGTTGTTCATTGTCATGCAGCACTGCCTTAATTGTAAATTATTATTGCCCTGTGAAAAATGAACCCATAGAAACTGTGTATCCAAAATGTAAATTAATGCTTCCAACATTTTAAAATGAAAAAATGACTTGGTTGCCGTGCATATGGGGATTAGGAATAGAGAAGTCTGTGTGCACTATATTTTTATAAAGATATGAGCTAATATGTGTACAGTACCACTACCAATAGTGTATTAAGGAAGTAAATTTATTGAATTGCTTACAGAAGGGCAAAATACTTCACATCAGAGTTTTATTGAGCTCTCATAAAAAATTTGCTCATAAAAACCCTAAAGAGAAGCCTTAAGTTCATAAATGGGATAGACCAGCTGGGCTAATCTTCTTTGAGGCAGATTTAACTAAGCCTTTATTGAAATATCTGATGTGAACATTTCAACTTACTCTCAGCTCGGAAGTGGTGCTATCATCTTCTTTGCGCGGTTTCTTTGCTGCTTGAGATGTATACTGCCGTCGTTGTTGTTGCTGCTGTAACTGTTGAGCTTGCTGCTGTTGTATGCGTAGCAAGTTCTGCTCGGCCAGCGCTTGCTGACGCCTCGATGATCTCTCACTTCTTGGGTAGTCCAGATCATCATGTTTGTCCCCCATCCAAACTGTGTAGCTTGCCTCGCCTAATAGACAGCTCAATCACGTTCCACCAAAGCTCGACTCGCCTGAAAAAAAAAAAAAAAAAGCATTTGCAGGTACTGTAATGATTTTTATGGCCCACAAAGCAAAGGGGCACTGATTTGAAGCCATGGCTTAAATAAATCCTTTTCCCCTCATAACAGCAAAGGAATGGGGCTTTTAATCAGACCAATACAGGAACTTTGAGGTCAGGGTGCTTAATGCAGGTTAGGAACAGATGGTACATAATGCACAAAAAAGTAGGGAAATAATACAGAATAGAATCGTAAAATAGGCGCACTTTCAAGATAGAGTTCAGTCAAAACCAAAACCGCAGCCTTAAAAATAAATAATGAGAGATTAAGGCTACTGATGGTTAGTGTTCTTCAACAAAGGTAATTGTAATTAGCTGCTGTGATAGAAAGATAGATGATACAGAAACTAAATGAAGGGCGAAAATACGAAACTCAAGATTCTGAGCTCCGTTTACCTCTAAAGTATTATGGGGACACACTTTTGTTGAAGGTTGCCAAGTAATCATCAAGAGGAAGATAGGCCATAACGGTTAAGCACTCGTCGCTGGTGGAATCAGCACACGAAAGGGTAACTTCATAAATTTAAAATGGTCGGAGCCAGGTACTTTAGCTATGATACTCACATTTACATGCAGTACTAAAAATTTGCCGCAAATTTGTTGAAATGGGCAGCAGCTGTCGGATCGCCTGGCACTGTAAACTCAAACTCAAGCTGTGCGCATGCCTCCAACCAACCCGACGATTCCACGGCAAGGCAAATAAGCGCTCCAAAAATTGATTGCTTCCGCGGAAAAAAACAACACAATTAACATTTGCACATGTTAACTTGACGATTAAAAACTTCAATAAGAGATTTCACTACCGAATCAAACGCGTCCAAATAATGAATATTCGTTCAATAAAATCTGGAAGAAAAAACCAACTAGAAGTGGAGGCTACCAAAACCAGACAGACGAGAAATCGTGTGAGTAGTAGAGTAGTGCTGCCAAAACTATGTTATATATGAAATACCTTGGGTACTATGATATTTGTACGCCTTCTGAGCTATCAGTAAGAGAGAAAGAGCGTCTAGATGGTAATTGTTCTATGATAACTACAGAATAGTACAAAAAGTATCTTCTGAGACATCGGCACGAATAGAGCTGTTTATTCAAGTTTTGCCGCCAAAGCGCCCGGCTGACCGGCACAGCAGGCTGGCAAACTCTACTCAATAAATGACACGGTTTATCTTATCATTCCATCTCATAGCACATGAAATATGACGCGTTTAGTAATTCAAAAGAGTTTCCATGTTGCACAGTTTAGCATAGACAGTGTGTTTTTTAGTTTTTTGTCTTTTTCTGCGATGCAAAATTAATGCAACGAGTGGCAATGAAACCTTCCCAAACCGCTGACTCGTAGCAGATCGCTTTTCCCCCCACCCCCTCCATCATCGGCAGCGTGGCCGAGTGGTCTAAGGCGCTGGTTTTAGGCACCAGTCCGAAAGGGCGTGGGTTCGAATCCCACCGCTGTCACGAATTTTTGAGTTATGTGTGGCTAATGAGCTTGGGCTGTTAGGATCGTTTGGATTATGCATGAGAGATGATTCCAAATTCGTCCAAATTCTAAAATTGGGCAAAGGAAGCCATGAAGGTCTTCCCTGCTGTCTGATGTTCTCTCACAGCTATGAGGCACCCTCAAAAGATTTGGAGTCACGAAGAGAATATGTGAGTGTGCATGTTCACAATTTCATTAGGAGTGTCACCGTATTTTTTTTGCATAAGTTGTAAGCTTATATATGTTATATTTGATCCATATCAAGTTTCAAAAGAGGATTCAATCATTCCAACATAAGATTGTTTCATTCTTTTTATTTTGCGTAAAATAAATTATTCTTGAGATACCAAGTATACTTTCTATAAGTGGTATTCATAGCACTCATTTATGTGAAAAGAAGAGCACTGGTTAAACAGTGTAGCAGAATTTCAGGCATGTACACTTTACAATCAAAGTCTTTTTAAATACAAATTAAATTAACACAAACTCGTTGCTCTATAATGACTTTGTAATATCATATCATTCAGAGACTGACACTTGGTTGACTATGGTATTAACTATGCATAGTATCTAAATTGATAATTATTACATACACACCGACATGCAAGGATTGTTTATGTATAAGGTAAATCTAGAATTTACCAGAGGCATATTATGCGATATCAGTACTTTCAATACATTACACATTTTGGCATTATACAACGCAAATTAAATATCACAATCATTCACACAAACAGTTATTCTTAAAATCACCTTCTTTCTATGTTTGCTAACCAATCTATTTTTCATCTGATATAGGTATTCAATGTAACTTTCAGGATGTAAAATTTACATTTCAAAATACACTCCTAGGTGTGCAGAATAATACAGTGTCTCCTTCTCATCTCCATCAAGACATTGCAAAATCCACTCCTAGGTGTGCAGAATAATACAGTGTCTCCTTCTCATCTCCATCAAGACATTGCAAAATCAGCCTCATTTCATCACTTAGCCAAGCTGGTCTAGTTTTGGGAACAAACTGTATCAATAAAATCAGCATCATGGAAATCTGCCAATGTTGCTAATCAGTACCTATTCCAATTTTCTTGAAAGAAAACTTGGCCTCTTGTATGAGGTAGTCATACAATTCTTCAATTGCACCAATCAAACAAGCCAATACCAATGGCCTGGAGAGTTTTAAAAGCGCATGGAGAAATAACTTTTATTTGAGATGAGATAGATGGTGTATCAGGCACATTCCTCGTTTATCTAACCAGTGCCAGAAAGGTAGAGAAACAACATTCTTGGCACACAGGGCAAGTTGCAAAGAAGATGAAACTTTAAATATAAGGCGGAAAAGTGCAATTACATTATTTTTGGCAATCGACTATCACTCTTGACATACTCTCTCAATCATGGCCACCCAAACAAGCAACACACCTTGACATACAACTGCTCCTCTTGTCTTAGAAAAATACAAGATGCAAGTAGTTTCTTTTCCCAAAGTCTCTCTGAAGACATGCTTTAAGTACAAGTTCAGTGCACTAAAAATTCATTATCAATTACAGTGAGACATAACACATACCATAAATGGACTTGCATTTTATGGCTCTGTCAATCTACTCTGACCAGAAATGAGTTCTGACCTTTCGCTTGCCATAACACAAAAATTTAATAAAACTGACCCTGGGTATGCTGGGGGGCTGGGTGGCAAAAACCAACACCCTCAGCAAGCCAAAGGCGAGTATTTACTACAACCTTGTAACAATATTATCACAGGGCACCTAAACCTCCAGACTTCTCACCTGAAGCAAGCTAACAAGCCACCAGCTTTTTATGGCAGAGGAGATCATTTTTCCATTCAGAAACATAAAATAAATAAAGTACTTCACAAATTCTTTTCAAGACAGAAACCGTTCGTCAGAAGGTACAACCAATAAGCTTCAGGAAAACTGGGCTCCTCTACATATGGCATGAATGAAACAGCTACCAAGAACCTTTCAGTTAACCTGCTATTTAATCTTAAAGGGGGTAAAAGGTGAAAAACCAGGAAAAGGGCAAAAAAAAGGTGAAAAAAAAAATACAAAGGATTTTACAAAGCAAACAGGCCTATGTAAAAACTAAAATACATTTCGACTTTTAAGTAGCCAATCACAACTTGACCATAACAGTCATCATAATCACTATGTTGCTCATAAAGTTTCCCCAAACAATTTACTTACACCTACTAGTCTAGTTAAGTATTCTCAATTTCAATCACAATTTCTTTGAACAGCATATAAGTTCTAAATAACATAAAACTACAAAGAATGACAATGTACGAAAAAAAAAAGAAAGGAAAATTATGATAAGGCACAAAAAAAAGTATATTATTCTACTTTACATCAGTTCTGAACTGTCATGTTCAATACAAGCAATCAATGAATTCAACCAATAAAGAGACCAAGACACCACACCTCTGAAACTTGTATCAAAGAATGCCTATAAAACATATACATAATTTTGCTTCAAAATTATGACAAACCATCAAGCATGTCAAGGGGGGGAAAGGGAAAGAAGTTGTCGCAGTTTTCAGCACAAAATCAGACAACTATTCCATCATGTGTTCCTAAGTTTTTTAGCTCAAAACAAAACCACTGTAACACAATTGATTTATCACAAGTTTGATTTACAATTTGAGTTTAAAGAAAAGTGCTTTGCACACAATTATTCTGTCAGCGGTTGCAGCAGCCCTGCTAACGTTGCAATTACAGTACTTCAATTAATTTACATTGTCTAACAAACGATAAAGGCTTAAAAGTTGTCATAATAAACAATGCATCCTTAGTCAAAACACGGAGCTTCACCAATCTTTGTCTAAAAAACATGAGTATCACTAACATTCCCACTTTGCCAATTTTTCAAATGTTTTGTAAAAGAACCTCATCTGGTACTGGATCTGCAACAGCAGCCGTTTCCAAGGAAGGCTGAGAGGACTGTCTGTCCAGGTAGCGACGGCGGGCAGCCTGCACCAGCTGTTCCTTGCGTAGGTGTAGAATTCTCTCTCGTTCCGTGGGTGACTTTGAGAAACGACCACCAAGATTCGATGGCACTTCTTCTTTAACAGTGCTACAAACAGAACCAAGAGAAGGAGGCTTTTAAATACTGGTGAAATGCTCTAGAACCGGCCATCACATGTAAAACCTTGTCCCAACGCCTACCTGTCCTGAGAAGTGCTGTCCACACTGTCCTCGCTTGAATCAGGTGGTGTTGTATGGCTAGGTGGGGTCAATTGGAGCTGAGGGGGAACAGTGGTCACCAGAGTGGGACCTGGGATCTCTTCGCGAAACCTTCGACCAGGAGGGGCGACCAAACGCCCATCCAAAATATTTTCAATTGTTATTTCAACAGAGCGCGTGAGTCGTAAGTCATCCATTATGACCGGCATTGGCATGTGAGGAAACAGCTGCTGAACCTGGAAAAATGAAGAAAAAAAAACAGAGGATACTTAAAATTTGCCACAGTTTTGTCCACAACAAAAATCAACATTTATTTTGAACTTATTAACTTACCTGCCGAGCCATTGCATCCAATTGTGACGTTTGAACAGGGGGTCCTTGGTCTGCCCTAAGGAGCTGTGTGTGAGTCACCTCGACAGAAAAACTGGGCAGCCAGGAAACGTACCGCGAACCTGAAACAAAAGATAATAAACTGCTTGTTTGATACAGCAACAAAGAAATGTTACAGAATATTTCTCAGATATGTACCGTCAAAGTGGAAGAAATGGTTGGCAGGAGGCCTCCTGGTGGCCTGAACGCCATCTGCGCCCCCATCCACTGCTAGAAGAGTGTGATCCAAATGATTATGGTCACGAGTTATGGGACTCTGCATGGAAAGTGCAAGACGACAAGTTGGGCAAGAAGTATCCTGCTCCAGCCATGATTGCAAGCAAGAACTGAAACATAAAAGGCAGTGATAATAATCTCCAGTAAACATGGAAAGATGTACCACAAAGCAGCTAATTAATCACATACTTGTGGAATAGATGAGCACATGGGAGTTTCCTTGCCGTTTCCATTTTCTCCCAACATATGGCACAGTTATCGGAGTTTTGGGCCAACTCCTCAGCTGAGGCCATTGGATAGCTGACAAGAAATAAGAATTTTTTCATTAATATGAAAGTTTAACAGAGGAGCTGTGATGAAGCTTGTAGGGAAGGAAGAAGTAGTGTTATGCTTACTTCTGTTCTAGGTGATTCAGGACCCAGAGGTAATTACGGTGTTTCTTGAAACGGCGTTGAATCTCATGAGTTAAGAATCGTAATTGCATGCATATTACAAGGGAGGCCATAGAGAGGAATATGTTAGACCACAATAACATATGAAGGTGATGAAGGAGGTCTACAACCAACGCTGCCAGTTCTAAAACAAACTCGGCGTAGTATGCAACTGGACCTCTTTTCTCCCAAGTCACCACACGGGCCAGGCCTTCGTGACCTCCTCCATTTCCTCCATCACTCCCTCGCATATCATACAAATGCAGGATGTATCGCAGAATTACATGAAGAGTCCGTACTGTTAAAAGGACGCACTGCAAAATAGAAAACGCGGAGTTAAAGATAATGGACATTACTCAACATTCAAAAGGCTACTTCACCAACACTTAGGATCAATCCATCATACCTCAGCAGCCATAAATGCAAACGTGTTCACTCCATCAAAGAAACCAACGGCTATGCAAATGAGGAACATAAATCCCGACAAAAGCAGAATCGCAAACAAGAGCCCAACAAGCCTTGCATGACTCCAGCCAGGGGTTGTTGGGGAGAAAGACAGCTGTAACGTAATAAACAAGATATAATAAAGAAGTTGAAAACTAATATAAAAGTACATCTGGAAGAGCAAGCTACTGTACTTACATATTCAAAACGATCTTTGCATAACTGTGCAAGTAAATGCAAAAAGCCCAGAACTGAGAACCAAGCAACCCAGAGCACAACTTCATCCAGGTACTGCACATTAATGACTCCAAAGACAAAGATAAATTTGTAGAACACAAAGTTCCAAAATTTATCCTTGACATGTTGCTGCTCAGAGACTCGAAGCTGGCCAAAGACAACTCGTTGGATGAGCTTGCCAAGCAGGATGAGGCAGCAGTACGCCATGTTCATCAGGGTCTGCAACAGAAGATTAAAAATGGAAATTACTTTCAGAAATGCAAGGGAAATTACGATGCACGGCAGACATTCAGACAGCAAGACATGAGACGCGTGTCCCTTCCCTAAGGCACTGACAAGCACACTGCCGAGTGCATGTCAAGTGCGACTCTGTTAGATGTTTGATCGCTGAGATTGAAGGTGAGGTTCGTGAAAATCACAAGTCACACAATTCCCCCTCCCCGGTTGGTTTTCCCTTCCACCCAACTCGGCAGGTGAATGCAGTTCAGCATCCTCGTCTTTGTTTTTGCCTAGTTTTTTTTTTCGGCTGGGTGTGGCCGCGGTGGAGCGCGTGGGCTTTTCCACTCGCGGCAAATTCCGCCCACGGCTGCACGACTGCAGCGAAACACCATTTTGGCTTTTGGGTATCTTTTGGGTATCGGCTGCTGGTGCAGGGGAGAAACGCCCGCGGTGGCGGTGGACCGCGGTTTTCAGACGAGCGAAGTTCTCCAGGCACCAGTCGCTGTGAATTGGGTCTTCCCTCGTTGGGTCTTCCAGCGAGGGTCTAGGCCAAACCCAACTCACGGCCACAATGTTGTTGACAGTGGCGTAGCAATGTGGAACAGAAGACCGGTGGAGGCGGACAAAACTCTGGAGGCATTTTGGGCTCCAGTCACTAAATATGTGACCAAACGTGCGACCCCACCAATGGATTTCCCGTTCGGAGAGCAATCCATTAGTGGGGGTCACACGTTCACTTCGAGTCCCATTTAGCGACTCAGGAGCTCAAAACCCGTCAGAGAGTCTGGCCGCCTCCACCTCTCTTCTGGCCCACTGTGCGTTGAGAGTTGAGCCACACGTTTTTAGCAGTGCCCTCCAGGCGGCGAGACATTGTGTTTGCTTCGTTTCCTTCTTTGTTTGCAGTGGCGACAATCAAGGCGTCGCAAAGGGACCCTTCCTCCCCTTCCCCTCCCAGCAGACCGATTCCGAGAGTGGTTTTCGTTGTTGCTGTCTCTCTCGCACTCATGGGGCCTTCCCTATGGGTGCGAGAGAGACATAGCGACGAAAACGACGGACTCCAGCGAAGCGTAGGCAACACGCAAAGCGACGCAGAGACAGGCAGAGACTGTTCCACAATTTTACGGAGATTCTCTTTTAAACGAAGTTGTCTTTTTCTTTTCTTTGTGGAGGAAGTCGGATGCAATTCGCCCCGGGCCCCAGGCGGTCGGACGGTTTCGATTTCGCTAACTCGCGCAACCCCCAGCACGGCCCACCGCGCATCGCGACACGTCGAGCAGTGCACTGATTCCAAGCAGCTCTTCGACGCTCTCTCTCTCTCTCTCTCTCTCTCTCTCTCTCTCTCTCTCTCTCTCTCTCTCTCTGCTCTTCTCTCTGCGTAGGAGAGAAGGAGCAGAGAGAGAGAGAGAGAGAGAGGAGAGAGGAGAGGAGAGGAGAGAGGGGAGAGAGAGAGAGAGAGAGAGAGAGAGAGAGAGAGGGGCGAAGCGCGCGTGCCCCTTCCCGATAGGGCCACGTGGTGGCTCCGCGCGTCGCTCGCGACCGCCTCCTTCGCGTGGGCGGGGGCTGCGCGGGGCGCGATCCCGTCGCTCTGTCTCTCTCGCACGCACGCGGGACGTCCCGGGAGTGCGACAGAGACGGAGCGAGCCTCCGGAACCAGCCTGCAGCGCGACGCATGGGAAACCGCTCAAGACACGCTCCGGTGAGCGGTGACGTGGAGTGACGTCAGACCGGGCGCCGCATCGCGTCATGACGTCATTGGACGCGACGCGTGGCGCATTTCCTTCGTCATTTGTTTAGCGGTGTCGTGTCCCGCACCGAGCACCTTGCCGAGCACAATGGGCCAGAAGACCGGTGGAGGCGGCAAAATCTTTAATTGTGTTTTGAGCTCCATCCAGAGTCGCTAACTGGGACTCGAACCGAACGTGTGACCCCACCAATGGATTCCTCGTTCGGAGAGCAATCCATTGGTGGGGTCACACGTTCGGTCCGAGTCCCATTCGGCGACTCTGGAGCTCAAAACGTGTCTAGAGTTTTGGCCGCCTCCACCGGTCTTTTGGCAAGTCCACTGTCGCGCGCCGAGCGCACCGCCACACTGAAAGCACCCCGCGGGAATGGACGGGGCAATTACACTGGCTGCTTGCCTGAAGACTGGGAGTCGTTTTCGTCGCTCTGTCTCCCTCGCGCTCATGGGGCGTCCCGTATGGGTGCGAGGGAGACAGAGCGACGAATACGCGACTCTCGGGATCAGTCGGCCGCTTGGCGACATGGGGCACGCACGCACACACACGCAGCGCCGCCCAGTGCATGCATGCCCACACGTACGCAAACACACACACACACACACACACACACACACACACACCCCCAAACCCCACACACCCAAAAAAAAAAAAGCACACTGCAGTGACGCACTGACGCACTCCAGCCGAGGCAAGCCAAGGTGAGGCGACCAGGGGAACGCCCCGCGTCGCCGCGTCGCCGCCAGGACGCGACGTCATGCAGTGCAGTGCCACGGCGGAGCCCGGCGTCGTCGCTCTGTCTCACTCGCACTCACGAGGCGTCCCGTCCAGTCCTGGAGGTGCGAGAGAGACAGAGCGACGAAAAGGACTCTCGGAATCAGTCGGCGGTGCGCGACGAGGACGCAGCGGGATCCAGAGGGATCCAGCGCCGCGCCGCGTCACTCCGGGTAAAGCCTTTATTTTGCCTCGTCGCTGTCTCTCTCGCACCGAGGATCGGCCCAAAGGAGAGAGAGAAAAGGAAAAAGAGAGAGGGGAGAGAGAGAGAGAGAGAGAGAGAGAGAGAGAGGGGGGAAGAGAGAGAGGAGGAGGGGGAGAGAGAAAGAGGGGGGGAGGGGGGAAAGAGGGGAGAGAGAGAGAGAGAGAGAGGGAAAAGGGGGAGGGGAGAGGGACGGGACGCGGTTCGGGAAAATCAGATGCCCGGCCCGGGTAGCCCAGGCATGGCCCAGACCAGCCAGTCTGCAGTCTCTCTCGCACTCGAGGGCTGCCCCCCTGGGTGCGAGAGAGGCAGAGCGACGAGGCGCTGTCCTAAATCGGCCGTCTGACCGTGTTTACAACAACGCGGGGCGAACGACCAAATAATCGAGTCACCTTTTCGGCTTTACGGTGCCGCGGGGGCACGAGCGGACAAGCCCGCGGGCAGTAGGTTGGTTCCGCCCGTAGCGCCGTCTCTCTCGCACTCATGGGACGCCCCGCGACCTGCAAGAGGCCGGGGCGTGGCGACGACGTAGCGGTGCATTTCATCGGCGCACAGTGGGCCAGAAGACCGGTGGAGGCGGCCAAAACTCTAGACGCGTTTTGAGCTCCAAAGTCGCTGAACAGGACGCGAACCGAACGTGTGACCCCACCAATGGATTGCTCTCCGAACGAGGAATCCATTGGTGGGCTCACACGTTCGGTTCGAGTCCCATTTAGCGACTCTGGAGCTCAAAACGCGTCCGGGTTTTTGGCCGCCTGCACCGGTCTTCTGGCCCACTGGGCCAGGCTGCCCCAGGCTGCCCGCACTGCGGGGGCTCCGCCGCCACACTGGAGCGGCAGGGCGAGCAGGGCCGCGGGGGCGGGGCTCCAAGTTCAGGGTCGCGGCTCCGGTCGGCGCCACGGCGGGCAGCCGCACGCTCCGGCTAGCCGCGGCCAGGGCGACCCGGAAGAACCGGACCACCGGGCCGGCGGAATCGGAGTGAGGAGGGGACGGCGGCACGGCGGCGGGCCTACACTCTCTGCCCTTCGTGCGTTCGCGGCCCCACGCCCAAGGGCCGAGGGCCTCGGCGGGGCCTCGGTGGCGGGAAGGGGGTTGCCTCTCGGGCTGCCCCGAGGCACTGGGTCAGCAGTGCGGCCGTCGCACAGTGGGCCAGAAGACCGGTGGAGTCGGCCAAAACTCTAGACGCGCTTTGAGCTCCAGAGTCGCTAAATGGGACTCGACGCAAACGTGTGACCCCACCAATGGATTGCTTTCCCAACGAGGAATCCAACCGTGGGGTCACACGTCCGGTTAGAGCCCTATTTAGTGACTCTGGAGCTCAAAAACGGTCTCCCATTTCGGCCGCCTCCACCGGTCTTCTAGCCCACAGTGCGACGGTCCGTCTCTCTCGCACCCATACGGGACGCCCCACGAGTGCGAGAGAGGCACAGCGACGAAAACGACTCTCGGAATGAGTCTGCATAGAGAGAGCTGGGCCGCCGCGCCTCGATTCAGGCATGCGCCGCCAAGCTGCGGTGCAAGCTGCAGCGACAAGCCGGCCTTGAACCAGCGGCAGCCAGCGGCGCCGACCGGGCGACCAGCCCCGCTAGTGGACCTCCTTGCCGCGGCCCGCGACGCACAGTGGGCCAGCAGACCGGTGGAGGCGGCCAAAACTCTAGACGCGTTTTGAGCTCCAGAGTCGCTAAACAGGACTCGAATTGAACGTGTGACCCCACCAATGGACTCTTCGTTCAGAGAGCAATCCATTGGTGGGGTCACACGTTCGATTCTAGTCCCATTTAGCGACTCTGGAGCTCAAAAGGCGTCTAGAGTTTTGGCCGCCTCCACCGGTCTTCTAGCCCACTTTTCGACGCCCGGCGAGTCCGCCTCGCCGCGCCTCGCGCAACTAGAGAGTGAAACGCCGAGGCGCCAGCAAGGCCGATAACGCGTGCAATTTCGGGACGGAAACTGGTCATCGGCCGGCACCTCGGCCACAGTGGACCAGAAGACCGGTGGCGGCGGCCAAAATCTCGAACGTGTTTTGGGCGCCAGAGTCACTAAGTGGGACTCGAACCGAACGTGTGACCCCACCAATGGATTGCTCTCCGAACGAGGAATCCATCGGTGGGGTCACACGCAGTGTTCATGGTACACCGAGAAAACTCGCAAATAGAAAGCGGCTTCACTTCTCCAGCTCGACATCGTCGAGTCGTTCCAAGTTAGCCGCTCCGCCGCGGCGCCAGCAGCGCACAGTGTGCCAGAAGACCGGCGGAGGCGGTCGAAATCCCGGACAGGTTCGCAGCTCCAGA